TAACTATCCAGGAACAATCTTGTCCTGCATTCTATACTGCATACAGAAACCTAAACATTGCTTCTAACCACCCCTTGGAGATGAAACATATTTCCAAATTTTATAGTCTTGCAGCTGTTTTGTAAGCATTGGATAAGAGGTAAGGAACAATTAAGATGCCATATGGACTTTTATTAGTTGTGTTTAGGGTTGATATGCAAAATTCTGAAGAGTGAAAAGCAATTTTTGAGGCTCATTCTTCATTTGAATTTGTGTTCCTTAAGCAAGACTGAGATTAAACAAGGTGGGTGTGATTTCTAAGAGCTTTGAGTGACTGAGCTGAGCTGTATTACAAAAAGAATTGAGGAAAGTGTGAACATTAGTAAGGAAATAAAAGTTAAGTAATATAAGTGATACGGGGTAATAATTTATTTTCCGTTAAGTGTGTGTAGTTTTTTGAAAGATTTTATCTTTACATGCAAAATAGTCTGAATGTAAAGTTTTTTCTGCTGTAAATGTTTGCGTTTATCTATTATACTGTTTAGAAGTATAACATATATTAACACATTTAATAGATGTTTTGCAGAGGAAGAAGAATGGAACTTATTTTCTATTCCAAAGTTTTTGGAAAGTAAAAGTGTAAGAAATGTATTAAAGAGAAGGATTGTTTATAGAAAACAATAAATAATGATATTACGTAAAAGCAGTAAGAAAAGAGAAAGAGAAAGATGATGTCAATGAAGATAAGAGTGAAAAATGTAGAGGGAAACACAGAGAAAAATGAGGAGGAGGCAAAGGGAAATGAGAAAAATAAAAAAGGGAAAGTTCAGGAAAAACATAACATGTAGAAACTAGCAGTGAATTTTATACTGTTGTAGGGAGTATAGTAAGGAGATAATGTCTTCCAGCAGAATGGCTTGTGGTTTGACTACAGGACACTGCTTATTTCAAGGGTGGAATACTGTGATGCAGTGCCTACTTTCAGGAGTGAAGTCTCCAAAACTGGTTAACCCCACTAGAACATAATGCTGACCTCTCAGCCAGAGCCTGCTTAGCCAATGCAAAGACTGAGAGAGTGGAGCACATTTGACCACATCTGGCTGGTCATATGAGACTGCCTCTATTAGGCGTAGAGAGAAATGGGTCCTGCCTGTTGTAGTGATGCATCTTGTACTAGAGCATGTGGGGCCAGGAAAACTCAGAGTAAAGCAGGGTGCAGAGCAGATGAGAGCCCTGTGCTATGCTGAAGTTATCAAACCCTTGTTCTCATCCACACACCAGTTTATCATCTGTCCCATGTGAGCTAAGTCAGGGTTTTAGTAACCCAGACTTCCCCATAATACCAGCTTAATAGTTAGCAAAGACCAACTGGAGGCGTCTGCTTGTAGCCTCTGCTGTGCTGACACTCTTTGGAGTGTTCCTACACCACTGAGCATCTGAAAATCACAAAGCTGAGGGAGGTGCAATGCAGAAAAGAAAAATGTGCTTGCAATCCCACTTACATCCTGAATATTAGGCAACTATCAACCTTTTAATTATGCATAATATACCATTTCCTTCCTTTCAGGAAGATGAGAGCAGAATTTGCATTACCAACTTTTTATGTAATATTTCAGTGAGTAAAACACATAACCAGACATGAGGGATTTTTACTTAATAACAGCTGGTCCTAGCAAGCCCCCATTTTTCTAATGAATAAACTGTTATCTGGATGGAGGAAGAAGGAAAAAGAAAATGAAATTATAATCGCATTGGCTTAGCTCTAGTATTTGAACCAAATTACTTTTTTTTCTTAATTAGTCTGCCCAATTTCCTCATTAGAGTTTCACAGATTTTCAGACAGCATTAGTTTTGTCCCAGAACTTATCTCACATTTATTTGCAAGTATCACACTAATGCATTAAGGGAATTGTTTCGTTTTGTACTTGCATGGTGAAAAAAATTTAACAGCTTTGTATTTCCCTCTGCAGTCCTTTATAATGAGAAATACTTCAGGAATAGGCAATTTTAAAGAACATAAATTGCTTCTCCCTTTAGCAAAAGTCTGCAATCACTGATGGAAGGGCCCTTCTCTTCTGTACTGTTAATGAACAGTCAGCTGTACAAGCTTCTCTAGCCATCCAGTGTAGAGGCCATTGACTCATGCCAAATATTCTGGTACTCTAATCTACCTGTTGGGAGAGGAACAGCCTTCAGAAACAGCCACTGTCTCCATTCCAGAAGCTTTGAGTTATTGCAATGTGCTTTCTCACATTAGGTTAAGTCCCCTTGTATTGGGTTTGCATGGTAAGGTTTTGGTAGCAGGGGTGGCTTCTGGCTTCTGTGATAAGCTGGTAGAAGCTTCCCCCAATGCCAGCCAGCTCCAAGACAGACCCACTGCAGGCCAAGGCTGAGCCCATCAGCAATGGTGGTAGTGCCTCTGGGATAATGTATTTAAGAAGGTGTGTGGGGGGGAAATTGTGCAGAAGTAATTGTGCTCAGAGAGCAGAGAAGTGAGAATATGTGAGAAAAACAGTCCTGCAGACACCCAGGTCAGTGCAGAAGGAAGGGGAGGAGGTGCTCCAGGCACTGAAGCAGAGATTCCCCTGCAGCCCATGGTGCAGACCCTGATGAGGCAGGATGTGTCTCTGCAGTCCATGGAGGTCTACAGTGGAGCAGAGATCCACCTGCAGCCCATACCAGAGCAGGTAGATGCCCGAAGAAGGCTGTGACCTTGTGGAAAACCTGCACTGGAGCAGACTTCTGTCCAGAACTGTGGCCCCGTGGAGAGAGGAGCCCATGCTGGAGCAGGATTGCTGGCAGGACTTGTGATCCCACAGGGGACCCACACTGGAATAGTCTGTGCCTGAAGGACTGCTCCATGCTGGAGCAATTCATGAAGAACTGAAGTCCATGGGGAGGACTCACATTTGAGAAGTTCATGGAGGACTCTCCTGTGGGAGGGACCCAAACTGGAGCACGTGAAGAGTGTGAGGAGTTCTCCCCCTGAGGAGGAAGCAGTGGCAGAAATGACGTGTTGAACTGACCGCAGTCCCCCTTCCCCGTCCTCCTGCGCTGCTCTCGAGGAGGAAGTAGAGAATAGGGAATAGAGTTAAACCTGGGAAGGAGGGAGGAGTGGGGAAAAGGTGTTTTTAAGATTTGATTTTGTCTGTCCTTATCTTGACCCATGAGCCTTTCATTATATTTTCTCTCCCCCATCCAGCTGAGGAGGGGACTGATAGAGTGGTTTTGGTGGGCCCCTGGTGTCCAGCCAGGGTCAACCCTCCACAGCCATCTTCACCAGGAGAAACTCCTTCTCCCAGAGGAGTTGACATTGCAGTCAGCCAGATGCTGGGGCTAGTTCCAAACTTCATACATGGGAATGGGAAAGAGGAGAGATCCTCCTGTTGGAGTGGAACAAGAATGATCAGCCCATATATACCCAGGGATGTAACAGGGAGGTGGTACCTTTGTTTTGTTGTTAGATTGGGTTACTTTATGCTGCTTCTTAAGGGAATAAGGGAAGGAAAAACTTAAAGAAAATTATCACAGGATGTTTTTTGCTCATTTCAGCTGGAGCAGAGTCATACTGGGTATGACACCAGACATGAATCAATAATCTCCTGAAAAGAGATGTCAAAAAAAGCTTCCAAAATCCTTCTCAATCTTCCACATATAGCTGTGACTTAGACCCATCATGACAATATTCGTAAATAAGCATTTTATTAGTGTGAAGTTTACAAGAATCTGTGTATTTTCTTTACTAAAAACAGGTGCTGCATCCTTTATTTTATTATCAGCCTTTCTGAGCCACCAAGAATTCACTACATTAAGTTTTCAGACCCTTCTTCAGCTCTTTCACTGCAGCCCAGTGAAATAGGGTGCCTTGCTGCTCTAAATTATCTTGGACTGTACTCCAACCTTTTTGTGAAATTTGCATCCCTCTGAGCAGCGTTCAGTTGCGAGCCTGTTAACTCCTTTCTCTAGACCAATTAATTTTGAGGTGGATCAATTTAATCCTTGAATAGTTTGAACAGATTCTTGCCTCCTTCCAGATTGTGTCCATCTTTCTCTGAAAGCCTCCCTGTTGGTGATACCGACTGTGTGTCAGCCCTCTGGAAGAATGAAAGTTCATGGAATGGAAGAAGAGTTCATGACAGCATCTCAGACATCAAATAAGGGTTTTCTTCATTCATGCAAACTTAAGCCAGGGTTAAATTGAACCTGTCCCTTAGGATTGACAGAGGACTTGTACAAAACCAAAGCAACAGGATTCACTTTGCTTTAATATTTTGTTTACAGAATGGCTTTTCACACATCTTGCTACATATTCATGTGGCTGGGGAATCACTGGGGAGAGAGGAGAGGAGCCAAGACAGTTTTTTTCCTTGAGTCACTAAAAAAACTATGAGGCATTTCATCAAGGAAAGTTGGTGAGTTTCTGTGCTCTGCAGCCATGATTTTGTAAGTATGAACCTACTGTCACTACTTAAATGAATAGTGTTCTCAAGCTGAACCTTTCAAAAGTAATTTTAAAGAAGGAATTGCTCCAGAGGCAGCGGCAGAGCAGAAAAAAGGAAAAGAGCCACAGATTAAAAAAGCATCATGAGGCTCAGCAGTAGGTAAGTTTTGTAGATGGAATTGGAACTGGTGACATTTATACTGCAATAGCGTTGAAAGGCCGTAGTCAAAGGAAAGGACACTTTAGAAAGGCCTTGTGAATATGTGAATGGCTGAGTGGCTGACAAGGCGTGATAGAAGAAAGCAGAATCATACACATGGACTACGAAGGAAGATTACAATTCGCTGAACTATCTGGTCATAGTCCACCCAACCTTTACCCTTCCACCATCAGTACATAGGTGAAAACTGTTGAACAAAACAACAGCAATCCCAAAGCAGTGCTTGTGTTTTAGTAGCTGGTTGGGTACTTGATGGGTTACTGCAGCCCCTGTCCTATGCTTGAATCCCATCCTCTGAAATCCTGCTCAGTTAATGCTGAGACAAAGTGAGGTCAACCTAACGTTCTGGATCTCCTTGCAGCTGATTTCCAAGCTGGATTTCTAGAACAAAGCAGTAAAGCTTTCTGCTGCTTACAGTTCTCTGAAATCCTACAAGACTGGCATTGTAAGGATTGCTGTTTTCCACCTGCTTCCCGGGATCCATTAATGTCAAATGGTTCCCTTATGACCTACAGTCTGGAGATGTATTTCTTCTGCCTAGGTTCTCTCTGGATTGGGCAGGGGTACTTCATCCCCTTTTGAAAGCCCTGCTCAAGAGAGATGCCTAACATGCTGGCTGTGTTTGCCCACTTTGTTCCTTCCTTCACCTGATCCCACTTGTTAGGCCTGTTGGCTGAAGCAGAAGTGTTGTGCGTGGAAGTGGGTTGAGCAGGAGCCAGTGCCAGTTCTCAGACGTGTCTTTTAAATTACACAGACTGATTCCAAAGGTCAAGGGAAAGTGTTGGCTGACTTGACTCTTCCTGCTGCAGTCGGCAAGAGTTTGGATGCGCGCTCTGTTGCAGTGGAGCACTGCAAAGGTAATTTCAGAGGGACTAAGTGGTCACCTTTGTGAACTTCTCTGGGGTGACATGGCTGAGGAGAAGCAGAGTGAAACAAGCACTCAGAGTAACAACACACTTTTTACCTTTTTTCTAGGTACCCTGCCAGCAGCAGGAGCAGAGCAGAAGGAATATTTTGTCCCTTCTTCTAAGAATAAGGTACTTAGCTCTGTTCCAGAGGAATTGCATTGCCTTTGGCTGAAGACAGATGTAGTGTGATGCTGCAGTCTTGATGAGGATTTGTTTCTCCACTGTGTCTCTGTTTTCTTGCTCACTTAGCTTTCTACACTGGAGGCAGAAGATCTTCAGCTAAGACCTGATTCTTCAAGTCAAACCGATTCTCAGGTGGACAGACAGGTGACTCTAATTGAGGCAGAAGCACATATCCCTAAATAGAGCCTGTCAGTGTAAGCAGAGGTGTTCTTACTATGGAATTCATTTCGAAATACTGCTGAGAGGAGGTGATTGAGTCTGGACCTGTGCTATACTTCAGACCTCATTTTGTTTGCATTCTGAAGCAGCAGGGCTGGAATAAGCCTTGCTCCAAGTCCCATCCAGCTTCACTTTGAACACTTCCGCAACCTGGTCCAGTGTCCCACCACAGTCCTTGCAAACAATTTATCCCTTTTGTCCCATCTAAATCTACCCTCTTTTCATTTTAAACCATTGCCTCTTGTTCTGTTGTTACAGGCCTTGGTAAAAATATCTCTCTGTCTATTTACATTGAAAGACAGTAGCAAGTTCTGCCCAGGCTTAGAAACCCCATGTCTCTCAGCCTTTTTCATGGGAGGAGTATTCTAACCCTCTGAACATCTTTGTGCTTTGTGAAATCCTGGCCACTCATAGTGTCACTGTTCAAGATATGGACAGAGAGATCACATCAATTAACTTCACATCCAAAATAGATTGGACTTGGGGAAATGAATTAATGTACTGCTAGTTAGTAGAGAGAAGGATAATGAGGAATAAGACCTTTAAACACCTTCTCGCTACCTCTTCCTTCTTCCCAGGCTCAACTTCAGTCCTGATTTCTCTTCCTCCTCCCCCACAGTGGCACAGGAGGATGGGGAATAAGGGCTGCAACCAGTTCATCACACTGTTCTTCATTATCATGCCTCTGCTCCTTCCTCCTCAGGCAGCATTCCTCACACTCCTCCCTGCTCCTGCATGGGATCCCTCCCATGGGAGACAGTCCTCCATGAGTTTCTCCAACCTGAGTCCTTCCCATGGGTTGCAGTTCTTCATGAAGTGCTCCAGCATGGATCCCTTCCACACAGTGCTGTCCTTCAGGAACAGACAGCTCCAGAGTGGGTCCCCCCATGTGGTCATAAGTCCTGCCAGCAAATCTGCTCCAGTGTGGGCTTAATCTTTTCATGGGGTCACAAGTCCTCCCAGAAGCCTGCTCCAGTGTAGGCTTCCCACAGGGTCACAGCCTCCTTCGGGCATCCCCCTGCTCCGGTGTGGGGTCCTCCAGGGGCTGCAGGTGGATCTCTGCTTCACAGTGGACCTCATGGGCTGTAGGGGGGTCACCATGGGCTGCAGGAGAATCTCTGTTCTGATGCCTGGATTGCCTCCTCCATCTCCTTCTTCACTGACCTGCAGTGCTGTTCCTCTCATATGTTCTTACTCCTCTCTTCTGCCTGCTGTTCAGCGTTTATTAACTTTTCTTCAGTACATTATCACCACCATTGCTCAGCTTGCCCAGTGCTGGGTCTATCTTGAAGCCAGCTGGCATCAGCTCTGTCAGACGTGGGGGAAGTTTCTGGCATATTCTCACAGAAACCACCTCTGTACATCCCCTGCTACCAAAACCTTGCCACACAAACCCAGTATACTCATACAGATACAAATAGGTGCATGCCTCTTTGATTAGTTCCTGGGGAAGTTCTTTGGACTGTATCTTTGCTCTCACATCTGATTTTGTTGTAGGACTCTATTTTTGGTATTGCATCTTCATTCACTCATTGCACTCACTCACATCTACACTTACTCTGAGTAAATGAAAACTGCTGCATTCACTGGCCTAAGTAAAATTCAGTGCAACTTATATAATTTCTTAGGTCTAATAATAAAAAGCTTGTGCCTGATACAGTGAGGCACTCAAAAAATGTTTAATACTCTTCTTGCATCCTAATAGGGACCAGGAACAAAAAAGTGCTCTAATCTAAAGAGATGGGCCACTTAACATATGTGAATCAGAAGAGCTGAGAAAGATATAGCACTAGGGGGCAGAGACTAATGGCTGAATTTTCAGAAGATTATAAATTCTCTCTTTGGGACCTGAAGGAAGTGGCAGAACTATTTCAAACTATTGAGAACTAACTGCCTTAAAAATTAACCTTTAAGTGACATACTAACATCTATCCAGAAATCAATAGTTAACTAAAAAGCTGAATTCAGATTTTCTGACTCCTACAAATCCTCTGGGCAGAATCTCAGTCTCTGGCAAAACTCCTATTATCTGCAGTGGGAAAGTGTTCATTCTCAGCTTTTCCACATCTCTCATACAATAAGCCAAATCACAAATATCCCAGGTATAGTGTATACAAGATAGGAAAAAGAATCATTCTTGGAAGTCATCCTGTGCCTTACAGTGCAAAATCCCTCACACTGAGAGGACTGTTGTGAACAACTCATTCATATTAATGGAATATTAACTTTGAAGTTTCTTTCTTCCCCCTTGCCTGTGTTTCTCCTTCCTGTGCATCCATCAGGAAGTCAGAGTAAGCACACAGGTGGCATTCTCAACAAAAGCAATGTACCAAATAGTATTTAATACTATAACTTTTGCTTATCTCCATTGTGGAATATGGTTTGTTCTGGGTAGTGCACAATAGCTTTGTTGTCTGTCAGAAAGCTGAGAAATTTCTTTTGATAAAAACCCAAAATTGATTCACTGGCAAAAAGCAGTTTTACTTCTCCAGCCCAGAAAACTTCAAAATGTCATATTTTGCTGAGAGAAGAAGAACACGAGAAAGGGGAAAACTGAATAAAAAACAAATATAGGACATCTTTGTCATGAAGATTAGAAAGAAAAAGAAGGAAAAAAGGAAGAAAAGAACCTTCCACTTCTTTCCCAAAAGCATCTAACATTTGGGAAAAAAATGAAAGCAGCAGCCCAGGAACCCTGAGCCTGACAGCCCTGTTGCTGTCAGATGAGACAGACAGAAAAGAGCTGCAGCCTATGCTGAGGGTTTGATGGGGATTTGCTCTGGTTCAGCCCATGTCATCACTTTCGCAGCAGTTACAGATGATGTGGGCAATGACAAAAATGTCTCTGAGTGTTTCAGAGAGGGTTTATGCATTTATGAGTAATTCAGGACATGTGTCTTGGGGCCAAGTCACTGGTTATGTCTAGCTCCTTGAGTGGGTATAGGCAGGAGGGGGTGGGGGAGTTAAAATCCCTCTCGTTCTAGCTGTGATTAAATCCATGCTGTTGGGATATTTTGGTGATTCAAATGCCATTAAAATATCTCAGAGCATCTATAAACTAAACCAATCCCCATATTTGTTGTCTTCTTCAAGGTGAGACTGACAGCGTCTGTGGGGTTTTTTGCCTTTACTCATAGTCTAGGATGCGCTGCCCTTTCCCACCAGCGTCCACTAACATCACCTAATTATTCCCTGATGCTGGACAGATTGTGTTTTCAATCTTGCCTGCTCTTTCTGTTGGACATCATAGTTGGTGGCTTTTGGGATTAGATGGTGGGTTCACTGGAGGTGCTGGGGAGTGCTTCGCAAGCAGCCGTACTCAGGGACACAGAAGGTGCTGTGTGGATCACCCTTGCTTAGACATCCCTATCAAGGCTGCCAGTGAAGGTAAGGTGGGCAGCTTTGGTGATCCTATCCTCCACATCCCTCACTGCTGTAGGGACGAGCAAAGTAACATTTGCTCGTGACTGAAAAAGGCTTATAGGTAAAATAGCAGGTGAAACATGGCTGCAACCTGGAGATGAGAAGGATAATACCATCTGTGTAGCCAATGTGCTGAGCACAGGCTGAACAAAACAGTTTCTTGATAGTTTGTAATAATCTTTTAAAATACCTTTTTTTGGTAGGGGGAATATTCTTATCAACCAATTCTTTCAGGGAAGACTTTGCTAGTCTTGCCCAGCCTACCATTACCTTGAAACAAAGTGTTGCACACACTTCCATACTAGGTTAAGCATTGTACATGCTTCAAAACAACCTCTCTGCACCTCTGGACTTCAGCCCTTTTTTATTCTTCCTCAAATTACCATTGCTGTCAAAATTTGTTATGATTTCATCAGAAGATGTCAGATAAACCTCAAGTGGGATTCTTCAATGAGGTGGATTCGTGGTATTTAGTGAACTGAGGGTAATAATTTAAACTCACAGTCTCTAAAATTTTAGCTCTCATTGTGCACAATTTTCTTCCTGGCATTCTGCAATGGCCAGCACAACCTTCACCATCATTCCAGTCAGCAATAAGAAAAATTTGAACATCATTATTTCATTGGCCTCTGGTATCTTATGTTTTATTTCTGCGGGTTTATTGATGTCTTCAGATTGTAGTCATGTCTCCTAGACAATCCACACTGCCAAATCAAATGACACTATACTCACGGCAAAGTGATAATCACAACATTTTTACTGGTCTTTGGATTCAAAATCTTCATCATCATGGCTAAGCTTCGCGAACGAAGATTTGGGAAAGGCTCTATCCACATTTGTTACAAGCATGCTGGTGGCTAATAAGGCCAATATGAGACAGACATATCCGATTGCAAAAGGCACAGCAGAAGGACTCCTTAGGTGGTATATTCTCCAAGACACGGTTCTTTCTGTGCTGTCTTTTCTCCTCGAGAGTGATCCTGCGTGCGTTCTCAAAGTAGCAGCATTATAGATGGTGTGCCTCCAGCCCTCCTGATTTGAGGCCAGAGTAGATCAGTTATGATGATCAATATGGCCGAGGCTGAGATGTTGTTTCAGGGAGTCCTTGTATCTTTTCTTCAGGGCTCCTCTCATGCGGCAGCCGGTGGCAAGTTCACCATAGAGCAAGATCTTAGGGAGGTGGTGATGTTTCATCCTTGAGATGTGCCCTGCCCATCGCAACTGTGTTCTCAGCAACATGGCCTCAATACTTGTGATTGCTGCCTGTTCTAGAACAGGTGTATCGGTCACATAATCTGACCAGTGGATGTTAAGGATTGTGCGGAGGCAGCGTTGATGGAAGCGTTCTAAGAGTCGCAGGTGGTGGCGGTAGATAACCCGTGATTCGGAACCATATAAAAAAGTGGACAGCACTATGGCTCTGTAAACACTGATCTTGATACTTTTCTTCAAGTGTTTATTTCGCCATAAACTTTTATGCAGTTTTCCGAAAGCACTATATGCCTTTGCTAACCTGTTGTCTATCTCTCCATTGATCTTACCATCCGCGGAGAGAGGCTGCCTAGGTAATTAAACTGCATTATAATGTCATGTTAAAGTCTATTATATGTTCCTCTGATAAATTATTCTTAAATTTCAAATAAATTAATCTGCA